CACTCGACACACACACACACATCACTCGACACACACACACACACATCACTCGACACACACATTACTCGACACACACACACACATCACTCGACACACTCATCACTCGACACACTCATCACTCGACACACTCATCACTCGACACACACATTAATCGACACACACATCACTCGACACACACATCACTCGACACACACACACACACACATCACTCGACACACACATCACTCGACACACACATCACTCGACACACACATCACTCGACACACACACACACATCACTCGACACACTCATCACTCGACACACTCACACACATCACTCGACACACACATCAGTCGACACACACACATCACTCGACACACACATCACTCGACACACACACATCACTCGACACACACATCACTCGACACACACATCACTCGACACACACATCACTCGACACACACATCACTCGACACACACACACATCACTCGACACACACATCACTCGACACACACATCACTCGACACACACATCACTTGACACACACATCACTCGACAAACACATCACTCGACACACACACACACACGTCACTCGACACACACATCACTCGACACACACATCAAACGACACACACACACACACATCACTCGACACACACATTACTCGACACACACATTACTCGACACACACACACACATCACTCGACACACTCATCACTCGACACAACATCACTCGACACACACACACACACATCACTCGACACACACATCACTCGACACACTCATCACTCGACACAACATCACTCGACACACACATTACTCGACACACACATTACTCGACACACACACACACATCACTCGACACACACATCACTCGACACACACATCACTCGACACAACATCACTCGACACACACACACATCACTCGACACACACATCACTCGACACACACATCACTCGACACACACACACACACATTACTCGAAACACACACACACACATCACTCGACACACACATCACTCGACACACACACACACACTCGACACACACACATCACTCGACACACACACACACATCACTCGACACACACACACACACATTACTCGACACACACATCACTCGACACACACACACACATCACTCGACACACACACACACACATCACTCGACACACACACACATCACTCGACACACACACACACACATCACTCGACACACACATCACTCGACACACACATTACTCGACACACACACACACACATCACTCGACACACTTATCACTCGACACACACATCACTCGACACACACACACACACATCACTCGACACACACACACACACACACATCACTCGACACACACATCACTCGACACACACACACACACATCACTCGACACACACACACACATCACTCAACACACACATCACTCGACACACACACACATCACTCGACACACACATCACTCGACACAAACATCACTCGACACACACACACACATCACTCGACACACACATCACTCGACACACACATCACTCGACACACACACACACACATCACTCGACACACACATCACTCGACACACACATCACTCGACACACACACACTCACATACACATCACTCGACACACACATCACTCGACACACACACACACATCACTCGACACACACATCACTCGACACACACATCACTCGACACACACATCACTCGACACACACATCACTCGACACACACACACACACATCACTCGACACACACATCACTCGACACACACATCACTCGACACACACACACTCACACACACATCACTCGACACACACATCACTCGACACACACATCACTCGACACACACATCACTCGACACACACACACACACACATCACTCGACACACACATCACTCGACACACACATCACTCGACACACACACATCACTCAACACACACATCACTCGACACACACACACTCACACACACATCACTCGACACACACATCACTCGACACACACACACATCACTCAACACACACATCACTCGACACACACACACATCACTCGACACACACATCACTCGACACACACATCACTCGACACACACATCACTCGACACACACACACATCACTCGACACACACACACACACACACATCACTCGACACACACACACATCACTCGACACACACATCACTCGACACACACATCACTCGACACACACATCACTCGACACACACATCACTCGACACACACAAACACATCACTCGACACACACACACACATCACTCGACACACACATCACTCGACACACACATCACTCGACACACACACACATCACTCGACACACACACACACATCACTCGACACACACACACACAAACATCACTCGACACACACACACACACATCACTCGACACACACACACACATATCACTCGACACACACATTACTCGACACACACACACACATCACTCGACACACACACACACACACATCACTCGACACACACATCACTCGACACACACATCACTCGACACACACATCACTCGACACACACATCACTCGACACACATCACTCGACACACACACACACACATCACTCGACACACACATCACTCGACACACACATCAATCGACACACACACAACATCACTCGACACACACATCACTCGACACACACATCACTCGACACACACATCAATCGACACACACATCACTCGACACACACATCACTCGACACACACACACACACATCACTCGACACACACATCACTCGACACACACATCACTCGACACACACATCACTCGACACACACATCACTCGACACACACATCACTCGACACACACATCACTCGACACACACACACACACATCACTCGACACACACACACACACACACATCACTCGACACACACATCACTCGACACACACACACACATCACTCGACACACACACACACATCGCTCGACACACACATCACTCGACACACACATCACTCGACACACACATCACTCGACACACACATCACTCGACACACACACACACACACACATCACTCGACACACACATCACTCGACACACACACACACATCACTCGACACACACACACACACACATCACTCGACACAAACATCACTCGACACACACACACACACACATCACTCGACACACACATCACTCGACACACACATCACTCGACACACACATCACTCGACACACACATCACTCGACACACACACACACACATCACTCGACACACACACACACACACACACATCACTCGACACACACATCACTCGACACACACACACACATCACTCGACACACACACACACATCACTCGACACACACATCACTCACACACACATCACTCGACACACACATCACTCGACACACACATCACTCGACACACACACACATCACTCGACACACACACACACACATCACTCGACACACACACATCACTCGACACACACACACACATCACTCGACACACACACACACACATCACTCGACACACACACACATCACTCGACACACACACACATCACTCGACACACACACACACATCACTCGACACACACACACATCACTCGACACACACACACACATCACTCGACACACACATTACTCGACACACACACACACACACATCACTCGACACACACATCACTCGACACACACATCATCACGGGATGAATGATAACACACACACACACATCACCCCGATGATACCAAACACATAATTCACAAGCATGTAAGCTAGCCTTTTGTGTCTTTCTGCTGAGAGTAGAAGACACCCCCCTACCCACACACACTGTCACATACACACAGTGAACACTGACCAATAGTTAACCATGTCCTAACCCCACCCTAATTGATATTATTTACTTTAACCATGCCCTAACCCCTACCCTAATTGATACTATTTACTTTAACCATGCCCTAACCCCTACCCTAAGTGATACTATTTACTTTAACCATGTCCTAACCCCTACCCTAAGTGCTACTAGTTACTTTAACCATGTCCTAAACCCTACCCTAAGTGCTACTAGTTACTTTAACCATGTCCTAAACCCTACCCTAAGTGCTACTAGTTACTTTAACCATGTCCTAAACCCTACCCTAAGTGCTACTAGTTACTTTAACCATGTCCTAAACCCTACCCTAAGTGCTACTAGTTACTTTAACCATGTCCTAAACCCTACCCTAAGTGATACTATTTACTTTAACCATGTCCTAACCCCTACCCTAAGTGATACTATTTACTTTAACCATGCCCTAACCCTTACCCTAATTGATACTATTTACTTTAACCATGTCCTAACCCCTAGCCCAGCTGCCGATTATGAAGGATTAGATAAAAATCCAACAAGATCCTGATCTGATGAACGTGGATGTTGTTGAATGTCAAGTTAAGTCGAAGTTATTTGTGGTAGAGAGTCGACATCTACGTCTCGTGCCAAACACAACAAACAAAGTCTGACGGTGCGCACTACGTCACGTGATACGGTGCGCACGTTGAGCGTTTAGTGTGTGTTCATGTTTAGTGTGTGTTCATGTTTAGTGTGTTTTCATGTTTAGTGTGTGCTCATGTTTAGTGTGTGTTCATGTTTAGTGTGTTCATGTTTAGTGTGTTCACGTTTAGTGTGTGTTCAATCCCATCTGGATGGTACGTCTAATCAAACAGTCAACAGATTTTACATACAAGGTTGACCGTCAGCCACATTCATTCTATACACATTTCAAAATTTAAAATACACATCATAATCCTGACATCACACATCACAACCCACACCCACACATACTAAAATACACACTTCACATTACAATACAAACCCACACCATCACAAACCCACACCATCACAAACCCACATAACCACAAACCCAGTAAGGATTACGTTCTGGGTAGAGGACAATGTCCTGTGAGCTTACCTTCGAGGTAGAGGACACAGTCGGTGTTGTTGAGGTAGAGGACAATGTCCTGTGGGCTTACCTTCGAGGTAGAGGACAATGTCCTGTGGGCTTACCTTCGAGGTAGAGGACACAGTCGGTGTTGTTGAGGTACTCCCCCGGGTAATTGGGAGAGAAAAACTCCTGCACGCGCCAGTTGCCGATGGTGAAGTTGTAGCAGACGGGGTCAATGTCGTCCATGATCATGGGGGGTGGGGCGACATTCAGCGGGACCTGGGAGTCTGGGGACGACAGAGATCACGTGGTTAGATGTGTGGATGGCTGGTGTGTACTTGTGTGAGATGTTTGTGTAAAATGTTTGTGTACTTGTGTGAAATGTTTGTTTACTTGTGTGAAATGTTTGTGTACTTGTGTGAAATGTTTGTGTACTTGTGTGAAATGTTTGAGTGAAATGTTTGTGTACTTGTGTGAAATGTTTGTGTACTTGTGTGAAATGTTTGTGTACTTGTGTGAAATGTTTGTGTACTTGTGTGAAATGTTTGAGTGAAATGTTTGTATACTTGTGTGAAATGTTTGTGTGAAATGTTTGTGTACTTGTGTGAAATGTTTGTGTACTTGTGTGAAATGTTTGTGAAAATGTTGTGTGAAATGTTTGTGTACTTGTGTGAAATGTTTGTGTACTTGTGTGAAATGTTTGTGTACTTGTGTGAAATGTTTGTGTACTTATGTGAAATGTTTGTGGACTTGTGTGAAATGTTTGTATACTTGTGTGAAATGTTTGTGTACTTGTGTGAAATGTTTGTGTACTTGTGTGAAATGTTTGTGTACTTGTGTGAAATGTTTGTGTACTTGTGTGAAATGTTTGTGTGAAATGTTTGTGTACTTGTGTGAAATGTTTGAGTGAAATGTTTGTGTACTTGTGTGAAATGTTTGTGTGAAATGTTTGTGTACTTGTGTGAAATGTTTGAGTGAAATGTTTGTGTACTTGTGTGAAATGTTTGTGTACTTGTGTGAAATGTTTGTGTGAAATGTTTGTGTGAAATGTTTGTGTATTTGTGTGAAATGTTTGTGTACTTGTGTGAAATGTTTGTGGACTTGTGTGAAATGTTTGTGTACTTGTGTGAAATGTTTGTGTACTTGTGTGAAATGTTTGTGTACTTGTGTGAAATGTTTGTGTACTTGTGTGAAATGTTTGTGTACTTGTGTGAAATGTTTGTGTACTTGTGTGAAATGTTTGTGTAAAATGTTTGTGTACTTGTGTGAAATGTTTGTGTACTTGTGTGAAATGTTTGTGTACTTGTGTGAAATGTTTGTGTACTTGTGTGAAATGTTTGTGTACTTGTGTGAAATGTTTGTGTACTTGTGTGAAATGTTTGTGTACTTGTGTGAAATGTTTGTGTACTTGTGTGAAATGTTTGTGTAAAATGTTTGTGTACTTGTGTGAAATGTTTGTGTACTTGTGTGAAATGTTTGTGTACTTGTGTGAAATGTTTGTGTACTTGTGTGAAATGTTTGTGTAAAATGTTTGTGTACTTGTGTGAAATGTTTGTGTACTTGTGTGAAATGTTTGTGTACTTGTGTGAAATGTTTGTGTACATGTGTGAAATGTTTGTGTACTTGTGTGAAATGTTTGTGTACTTGTGTGAAATGTTTGTGTAATTGTGTGAAATGTTTGTGTACTTGTGTGAAATGTTTGTGTACTTGTGTGAAATGTTTGTGTACTTGTGTGAAATGTTTGTGTACTTGTGTGAAATGTTTGTGTAAAATGTTTGTGTGAAATGTTTGTGTACTTGTGTGAAATGTTTGTGTGAAATGTTTGTGTAATTGTGTGAAATGTTTGTGTACTTGTGTGAAATGTTTGTGTACTTGTGTGAAATGTTTGTGTGAAATGTTTGTGTACTTGTGTGAAATGTTTGTGTAATTGTGTGAAATGTTTGTGTACTTGTGTGAAATGTTTGTGTACTTGTGTGAAATGTTTGTGTGAAATGTTTGTGTGAAATGTTTGTGTACTTGTGTGAAATGTTTGTGTGAAATGTTTGTGTACTTGTGTGAAATGTTTGTGTACTTGTGTGAAATGTTTGTGTAAAATGTTTGTGTACTTGTGTGAAATGTTTGTGTACTTGTGTGAAATGTTTGTGTACTTGTGTGAAATGTTTGTGTACTTGTGTGAAATGTTTTTGTACTTGTGTGAAATGTTTGTGTACTTGTGTGAAATGTTTGTGTAAAATGTTTGTGTACTTGTGTGAAATGTTTGTGTACTTGTGTGAAATGTTTGTGTACTTGTGTGAAATGTTTGTGTGAAATGTTTGAGTGAAATGTTTGTGTACTTGTATGAAATGTTTGTGTACTTGTGTGAAATGTTTGTGTACTTGTGTGAAATGTTTGTGTACTTGTGTGAAATGTTTGTGTGAAATGTTTGTGTACTTGTGTGAAATGTTTGTGTACTTCTGTGAAATGTTTGTGTACTTGTGTGAAATGTTTGTGTACTTGTGTGAAATGTTTGTGTACTTGTGTGAAATGTTTGTGTACTTGTGTGAAATGTTTGTGTACTTGTGTGAAATGTTTGTGTGAAATGTTTGTGTACTTGTGTGAAATGTTTGTGTGAAATGTTTGTGTACTTGTGTGAAATGTTTGTGTACTTGTGTGAAATGTTTGTGAAAATGTTGTGTGAAATGTTTGTGTACTTGTGTGAAATGTTTGTGTACTTGTGTGAAATGTTTGTGTACTTGTGTGAAATGTTTGTGTACTTATGTGAAATGTTTGTGGACTTGTGTGAAATGTTTGTATACTTGTGTGAAATGTTTGTGTACTTGTGTGAAATGTTTGTGTACTTGTGTGAAATGTTTGTGTACTTGTGTGAAATGTTTGTGTACTTGTGTGAAATGTTTGTGTGAAATGTTTGTGTACTTGTGTGAAATGTTTGAGTGAAATGTTTGTGTACTTGTGTGAAATGTTTGTGTGAAATGTTTGTGTACTTGTGTGAAATGTTTGAGTGAAATGTTTGTGTACTTGTGTGAAATGTTTGTGTACTTGTGTGAAATGTTTGTGTGAAATGTTTGTGTGAAATGTTTGTGTATTTGTGTGAAATGTTTGTGTACTTGTGTGAAATGTTTGTGGACTTGTGTGAAATGTTTGTGTACTTGTGTGAAATGTTTGTGGACTTGTGTGAAATGTTTGTGTACTTGTGTGAAATGTTTGTGTACTTGTGTGAAATGTTTGTGTACTTGTGTGAAATGTTTGTGTACTTGTGTGAAATGTTTGTGTAAAATGTTTGTGTACTTGTGTGAAATGTTTGTGTACTTGTGTGAAATGTTTGTGTACTTGTGTGAAATGTTTGTGAAAATGTTGTGTGAAATGTTTGTGTACTTGTGTGAAATGTTTGTGTACTTGTGTGAAATGTTTGTGTACTTGTGTGAAATGTTTGTGTACTTATGTGAAATGTTTGTGGACTTGTGTGAAATGTTTGTATACTTGTGTGAAATGTTTGTGTACTTGTGTGAAATGTTTGTGTACTTGTGTGAAATGTTTGTGTACTTGTGTGAAATGTTTGTGTACTTGTGTGAAATGTTTGTGTGAAATGTTTGTGTACTTGTGTGAAATGTTTGAGTGAAATGTTTGTGTACTTGTGTGAAATGTTTGTGTGAAATGTTTGTGTACTTGTGTGAAATGTTTGAGTGAAATGTTTGTGTACTTGTGTGAAATGTTTGTGTACTTGTGTGAAATGTTTGTGTGAAATGTTTGTGTGAAATGTTTGTGTATTTGTGTGAAATGTTTGTGTACTTGTGTGAAATGTTTGTGGACTTGTGTGAAATGTTTGTGTACTTGTGTGAAATGTTTGTGGACTTGTGTGAAATGTTTGTGTACTTGTGTGAAATGTTTGTGTACTTGTGTGAAATGTTTGTGTACTTGTGTGAAATGTTTGTGTACTTGTGTGAAATGTTTGTGTAAAATGTTTGTGTACTTGTGTGAAATGTTTGTGTACTTGTGTGAAATGTTTGTGTACTTGTGTGAAATGTTTGTGTACTTGTGTGAAATGTTTGTTTACTTGTGTGAAATGTTTGTGTACTTGTGTGAAATGTTTGTGTACTTGTGTGAAATGTTTGTGTACTTGTGTGAAATGTTTGTGTAAAATGTTTGTGTACTTGTGTGAAATGTTTGTGTACTTGTGTGAAATGTTTGTGTACTTGTGTGAAATGTTTGTGTACTTGTGTGAAATGTTTGTGTAAAATGTTTGTGTACTTGTGTGAAATGTTTGTGTACTTGTGTGAAATGTTTGTGTACTTGTGTGAAATGTTTGTGTAAAATGTTTGTGTACTTGTGTGAAATGTTTGTGTACTTGTGTGAAATGTTTGTGTACTTGTGTGAAATGTTTGTGTACATGTGTGAAATGTTTGTGTACTTGTGTGAAATGTTTGTGTACTTGTGTGAAATGTTTGTGTAATTGTGTGAAATGTTTGTGTACTTGTGTGAAATGTTTGTGTACTTGTGTGAAATGTTTGTGTACTTGTGTGAAATGTTTGTGTACTTGTGTGAAATGTTTGTGTAAAATGTTTGTGTGAAATGTTTGTGTACTTGTGTGAAATGTTTGTGTGAAATGTTTGTGTAATTGTGTGAAATGTTTGTGTACTTGTGTGAAATGTTTGTGTACTTGTGTGAAATGTTTGTGTGAAATGTTTGTGTACTTGTGTGAAATGTTTGTGTAATTGTGTGAAATGTTTGTGTACTTGTGTGAAATGTTTGTGTACTTGTGTGAAATGTTTGTGTGAAATGTTTGTGTGAAATGTTTGTGTACTTGTGTGAAATGTTTGTGTGAAATGTTTGTGTACTTGTGTGAAATGTTTGTGTACTTGTGTGAAATGTTTGTGTAAAATGTTTGTGTACTTGTGTGAAATGTTTGTGTACTTGTGTGAAATGTTTGTGTACTTGTGTGAAATGTTTGTGTACTTGTGTGAAATGTTTTTGTACTTGTGTGAAATGTTTGTGTACTTGTGTGAAATGTTTGTGTAAAATGTTTGTGTACTTGTGTGAAATGTTTGTGTACTTGTGTGAAATGTTTGTGTACTTGTGTGAAATGTTTGTGTGAAATGTTTGAGTGAAATGTTTGTGTACTTGTATGAAATGTTTGTGTACTTGTGTGAAATGTTTGTGTACTTGTGTGAAATGTTTGTGTACTTGTGTGAAATGTTTGTGTGAAATGTTTGTGTACTTGTGTGAAATGTTTGTGTACTTCTGTGAAATGTTTGTGTACTTGTGTGAAATGTTTGTGTACTTGTGTGAAATG